CCAGCACGATGGCGAGATCCAATCGTGCGCCTTTATGGCGTCACCTGGTCTCGTCAGGCTCAGGATTGATCGAAATGGAGAAGTTACCAGCTGCATCGATGGCGTGACATCAGAGATCGATGAAACAACAGCTGTTCAAGGTATTCAAGGTAAGGTATCAAAGATGTAGTTTCAGTTACAACAGCCATGAGCAGACTACTAGGTGCATTGGTTACAAGAGGGGGCGCTAAGATGAAACAATCGCATATCGAAGTATCATCAATCAGTCATGCTACAGCACCTAAATTATTAGTAGTAACAAATGTATGTAATAAAAACATCGAATGGTAAAGGTTACATCTTTGATGCCGTATTTAAAAACAGTCTTCAGTAATTCCGGATCCGCTGTCTGTGACATCGCTACAATACAGTTTCGTTCTATTTCGCCGAATCCAGCTGTTTCATATATCTGCAACAGAATATCAGAAGAAAAAAGATTAAGTTGACTAAATGAAGTATATCCGAATAAGCCGTTACTGGAGACAAGTTCCTAGCAATGAAAAGATCAAAGACATAACTCAGTGGTTATTTAAATTTCTGAATGAAGTTCCTGCAAGAAAATCGACAACGATCGTCAACAAACAAATAACAATGAAGGCGCCTGAACTCCAGTGCTATGAAGATGTAAACAGATAATACGCATATAAGCCTTTTTATACTACAGTGGTCTGTTTTTGACATTCATTCTTAAACTATGCACTGCAGCTCGTAACAGCTATCGAGCCTACAACATTCTCGGAAACGGCTGGGAGGTAACATAACGAATGCTCAGCGCACCGACTGCTGTTGCAAAAATGCGTTTTTTGCATAGTTCCCCGCAGATTTTTTGTCTCGAACGGCGCTGTTTTTCCTAGTAGATGCTTCTAACTAAAAGAAATGAGACTGGCGCCAGGACTGTCAGAAACCATCCCCTTAAAGTTCCAGTCTTCTAGCTCTTCAGGTCCCTGATTTAACAACTTATCCGAACAAAACTTACACGGGCCCCTGCGTGAGAACCACGCATACTCGAGGACTAGATTTAAACTCATTAAGACCTACATGGATGGAGAACATCTCTTTAAAATCTCAGCTTTCTAGCTTATCTGGTTCCCGAATTAGCAGCTTACCTGCCAAGAAGTTTGATGAGCCCGTAAGTGGTACCACGCGGATAAGAGTGCCCATTTGGTGATTGGTGCTCGTAAGTGCATGTAGATTACTTTCCCAGAGTTTCAGCCCTGTAGCTTTTATAGGTCTTGAGATGAAAAATCTGTACAGACGCACACAGAGAAATCCCCTCGTCAATGTGCGTTTTTATGCGTTTTTTGCAGCTATTCAGTGCAGAAAACGCATACTGACGAGGGGCTGTCTGTGTGTCTGTGTGTGTGTCTGTACTGATTTTCATCTTAAGACCTACAAAAGCTACAGGGCTGAAAATTTGGGAACTTAATTTACATGCACGTACGGGCCCCAATCCCCAAAATGGGCGCCCTTACCAGCGTGGTATCCAAGTACGAGCTCGCCAAAGTTTTTTTATGGGCAAGTTCATAAATCAAGGGTCTGAGAAGCTAGAAGACCGGAATTTTGAAGGGATGTTTCCTGATAGTTCTGGCGGCCAGTCTGAAATTTAGCTAGAAGCATCTGCTGGAAAAACCAGTGCCGTTAGTGACAAAAATCTGCGAGGAGGTATGCAAAAAACGCATCTTCGCGCGGACAACCCGTGCGTTAGTCAATTATTTTCATTGCATAGATGCAAAAAACGCATAAAAACGAACTGTGCTATACAGACTGTAATTCGGTTATTATATAATGTTCCTTAATATCGAGTAAAAGATGCAGCTCTTGGCCGATTCCGCAACCTCTAGCACATTCTGGTACAAGAAGACCGGACAGTCCTAATTTTTCTTATGAATTAATCACATCAGTAACCCAAGAGTTCCAGAGTTAATGCCACCAAAGTTAGAAAGAAAATAACACGAAGCTAAAATAACCAACATGCTTCAATTCCTCAAATCCTTGCTTGCCAAAGTGTCTCCCGACTATTCCATAAATCTGAAAAAGAACTTGAGCTTTTAATCATGAAGTTTTGAAGACCAGATTCCGGCCTTGGCCAAAAATATCTCTGTATTCAGCCTTTTTATAGTCATAAATTCCACACTATTGTCCTCCACAGAAACCAGTTTTTACAATCCTTCCTTTCCCCTCATTCCCTCCATCTTTCACTCCATATTTATGTTTGTGATTATTCCGTTTTTTCTTTTTTTTTTGCACAAAAAATACTCCGACCTTGAAAAAAAAAAAATTCCTACAGTAAACAAATAAAACAAACGGCAAGTCGTAAATCTGGATGAAGTTCAGTTTTTTTTTCAAGATGTTCCAGAAATATTCCTCTCGCCCGTTCGATTGTTTCCCCGTGATCACAGCGGCCCAGTCGACCAAGAACCAAAGCTCGTAGCAGTGCGGTGTGCGAATCTGAATCAGACCGATTTAATAAACGACGGTTCACTTCAGTAGCGATTATTCAGTGACAGGTTGTGTTAAAAAAAAACCATAGATTTTTGTACAAAGATCAATTTAGATATGATAAATGTTTTTTTTTTTTTTAAAGTCTTGTAACTGCAACAGCAAGGTAGAAATGGGAATCATCAAAATATCACAGCACTCCGTGATTATCTTAGGGTTATGAATCACTATTTTATTGCTAAACTAGTTTAGAAAAATCCCATTAAATTAACTCTTTCACTTACCCTCATTTGGTTTTGCTTCCCAACCCAAGCGAAAAGCCAGTGGTGCCAAAATTTTCACCACAAATCTGTTGAATTTCGCGCGTACGAAAAGATCGTAGTGCGACAAGATGTTCGACAATGACGAAATGCCTAAAATTCATCAGTAACCATGAAAAATATAGAAAGAATTCACTCGAACATCCTATGAAATTACGCTGGAAAAATAATCAACGGATCAAACGATAATGGCGTCAGTTTTAGGCATAATTTGATTTTTTCTTGTGTTTGTTTTTAGAAATTTTCTTAAAAGCGGTAGTTTTTCTAAAAGAAGCGTACCTGCATCAAGCGTATCCCAGACTATGTAATCATCTTCCTTGGAGGAGGATTCAAGCACTGATAGGAATTTTTTCGCCGATACCTGTCCTGATTTGACCTGAAATAGTTTCTCCCCCGCGATAAATTTAACCAAATTTTATCACTTATCAGTGCTGTCGATCGCAATATGAACAAATAAAATCTGAGGTTGAATAACGAAAAATAGCATATTTACCAGTGCGAACATGTCATTTGCGATGCCGAAACGATCCAGTACGGGAATTTTCTTGAACTTGAAACTGGCCAAAAGTTTATGAAGCATATCATCTGCATACATGACACGATAAAATCCAGTTGTCCCAACATTCAGCTACAACATATCATTAACAGTATTTTTCATAACTACGACAAAACTGGCCACACCTCAAATTGTCTGTTTTCTTGTATTTTACGAGATGTTGCGAGAAAATTAACGCTGTCTCCTCACAGATTCTGTAAATGACAATTTCGATCGCAAAATTGTATAACAGAGCCGCAAAGCTCCCTCCTGGTATGAGTCTGGCTGTCTTTGGTATTTTTCAAAATTTATACAATTAACTCCCAACATTATAACTGTGTCTCCACTTCTCTCAACAGTAATTTTGCAGAGCATCAGCAAAAGACAAGCGTTTGTAACCGCCAAGAATGGTGGAGATATATTACTTTTCCTTCAGAGCTGTAAAAAAAGATAACGAATGTTGAGAAAATCGGCATTTTCCGAGTTTGATATTATACGATTGGACGGTGACGAAATTTCATCATCACACACACACAAATAATTATATTTTGCCTCCGAAGTGTTGCGATTCTAAAATCACCTTAATCCAGTGGTTCGGCTCAACGCCATCAATAATAACTTCCTGCTCACGGTCCTTCAGCAACATTCTTTCACGTACTTTATCCGGCTCGGCTGATGTAGAAATTGTTATTGGGACCTGTAAATTCCTTAAAATCTTCGCAATCCAAACTAAAGCGTTAATTTCCTAGAAATTCCAGACGATGCCTCCCTCCACCCGAAAAAAACCCCCAAATTATAGAAAGCATCAA